TGGAGGCCATCAGGTTGGAGGCCATCGCTAGTAGGTTGGAGGCCATCGCTACTAGATCCAAAAAGTTTAACACCATTTGCATCAGTTCATTTTGGACTGCGAGGATTCGCTCGAATGTGACGGCCTGGTTGTCATGTTGCCACGAAGTTGACCAGAGGATTCTGCCCTTCGGGTTTTGGAAAAAGCCACATAATGCCAAATCCATAATCATCCGTATACACCGGTGAAAACTAACATTTTGACCCCCCAAAAATATATTTTTTTTTTGTCTATGTTAGTCTAGTTTCCGAGCGGACACCGTTGAGACTAACCTAGACCAAATTCAGATGTCCCATGGTGGCCCCTACGGGTACTTGGCATGGTCCATGTTAGCCTCCACCGGGCTATGTTGACCTCTACCGGCACGGTCTATGTTAGCCTGCGTTCAGTTTATAGTCGGAGTGCAGTTGGTCCATGTTAGTGGCAAAATCGATCATAGACTGAGAGTAGGAGCGGTCCATGTTAGCCACACGCCTGACTCAGGTTTGTGGAAAGTTTGTGTCAGTGTGGACCAGGGACTGAGAGTGGAAGTGGTCTATGTTAGCCGGTTAGCCACATGCCTGACTCAGGTTTGTGGAAAGTTTGTGTCGGTGTGGACCAGGGACTGAGAGTGGAAGTGGTCTATGTTAGCCACATGCCTCACTCGATATCTGGAAAACTTAGTGTCAGGTTGGACCGTGGACTGAGAGTAGCGAGAGTGGGAGTGGTCCATGTTAGCCACAAGCCTGACTCAGGTTAGTCTCAACGGTGTCCGCTCCGAAACTAGACGTAACATATGTCAAAAGAGTAATGTAGCCGACTTAGCCTAACATGGATGCATCTTGAGAGTAACTAGACCTGGACCGGGGTTGGTCCATGTTAGCTTTTGGGTGGGCCCATATCTTCTCCCTTCCACGCTGCTCCACACTGTCCTGTTTTTCTTTGCCCCTCTTCTATGCTAGGGCTTGCTGGCTGCTGATGCTCGAAATCCCAGTATCCTATATGTCCTAGGAATGCGCCGCTTCCAGTGTGCCATGTTGGCCTCCACCGTGCTAAAAGAGCTGTCTAGTTTTGCACCTGCAGTACCTCGGTTGAGACTAACGTAGACCATGTTCAGGAGGCCCCTACGGGTACTTGGCATGGTCCATGTTAGCCTCCACCGGGCTATGTTGACCTCTACCGGCGCGGTCTATGTTAGCCTGCGTTCAGTTTATAGTCGGAGTGCAGTTGGTCCATGTTAGTGTCAAAATCGATCATAGACTGAGAGTAGGAACGGTCCATGTTAGTGAGGGTCCAGAAATTGCCAAAAAAGGCGCTAATACCGTTTCCCCAGGAAGTCACCGGTTCCAGTGGTCCATGTTAAAGCGCACTTGAAATTGAGTTACGGTCTATGTTGTTTTTCCCGGAGTAATATATTTCATAAAATCATGATAACACTCACACCCAGGGTTTGCATCCTTATATTTGTACCCCTGTTCTTCCATCATACTTTCTGTTGACGTAACATCAAATTCAATGATCAGTCGGGCGGGCTGCTGCGAAAGCAAGAGTTTCTTCGTCAGCTGTCCAGGGAGTATTTGAACCTTCCATTCCCAATAACCTAGCATTTGTAGACTTGAACGTAACAGGTGGTAACCTGTCACTCTGCTGTTGACAACTGAAATGCAACCTTCTCACCCTCTCCTATCAACAGACCACGACAGACCAGTTCTTTGACCGAATGGTTTTGCTTTGGCCATGCCATGGCTCCAGTGGATGGCGTTGACCTTGTATCACTATGACGAATTCAGTCCACCAATCCACCCACTCGTGACAGTCCTGCTTGCCAACGGATGCCCCTTCACAAGTCTGTTGCTGCCAGGCGCCACAAGTCATGATGCCTCCAAGCATTCATTCGCCAGTGCCAGGCACTTAGAGTGTTCTCAGGACTTGCGAGGCCAGGCTTGCAGGCTTGCTTCCGTGGCTTCCGGAGATGAAGTAACCCGGACCGGTCGGGCATGTCGGCCCCGCTCCGGACGGGTCAGGCATTCGGTTCGGCCCTTCTTCGGACCCTTCGCTCACTGCCGTGGGAAGGGCGTCGCCGAAACACAGCGTGCGTGGTGGGACCCTGTGTGAGGAATGGCTTTTCTTTTCCGCCCCCAAGATGAGATGAGAGCAAACATGATAACAATAACGAATCATAACAAAATGTAATTCTTGAATATTCTTGATACAATAAAAAAGCACAGGGGCTGTATAGACTCTACTCTGAAGCCACGTCTGGTACGCCACCGAGGCCAATGCCACGACCGACCATGCCGGCACCCATGCCGCCGCCCCCTGGTTGAAACATACAATCTGAGGATAACACCTATGACAAGATGCATGAGATTGAGGTGGAGTTCACTTACAGCCTTGTCTACACCAACATGTGTATATGTGAGGAAGTCAAGCAAGAATCGCACTAGACCAGCAGGTTCCTCTCAATATCACTTCGAATGATCTTAGACTCTTAGACGCTGATCTTACCCCAGGTTGGTTGCCAAAGACACTTGATCAAAGCCGCGCAGAAAGGGACACCAGGTGTGAAGAGAATGATATGGTTGATCATCTAGCATAAATTCGAAGATCTCTCGAGGAGGCCATTTTAAATAGGTTTCGAGGAGATCTCTCCTCAACTCTGTCTACTTCTTGAGCTACCGATTCATTAGACTTGCGTTGGATCGTTTTGTTGAGCATGCAATCAGTTGGCATTTTAAGAACTTGTGCGGAAAGCCTGCGCCCCCATATATATATAACCATATATAATTATATTAAGATGATTTAAGATGTACACTCTTTAAGTATCTTTAAATGGTGGCACACACCGGGAAAAAGTACACAAGTATGCATCGAGCTGGCGCTCTCGCTGCTTCTCGTGGATGGATTCCCTTTTCGAGATCCAAGGCGTATGCAAGCTCCTCCGACCCTTCCTTATGGCTGGGACACCCGGAGACCTCGAGACGGAGCTCAGGTTTTCTTCGAGTCGAAGAGCCGGGGTTTCTTCAGCATCTGAAAGAAATGAATAAAGGCAGGTGTATACGAACTTTCCCTGTGCAGGTTGTCTCAAAATCGTTTGAAAGTGCAATGGCTCTAACATCCTCTAGGTCTACATCTTGCATGGGTAATGAGTTTGGGGTGCTTTCCAAGAGCCAAGAGCATACCGCCGCCACACAGCACTGTTTGTTCGGACTGGGTCTATCATGGTTGTTCCAGCAGTGAGCGCAGAATGTTACGCTTGCCCTTGTGTGCTGGTCTCCTCTACAATTGTTCGTGTTTGCTTTTTGCTAAGATGGACCCCCTACAAGACAAGTATAGATAAAGTTTAATTCACACGCTTCTATCTATTTGGGGACCACTGTAGCAAGCAGCAAGAGCAAAGAAACAGCATGCCTTCCCGAAAAAGGTACAAAAACGGTCTGTGGCTGCAGTTGTGGCGCCACTCACACACCGTAGTCAATCCGCAGTCAATACGGATCACTATAGTACACATGGTATCCACATCCATATCTGACATATCTCACCAGATAGTCAGGGATAAAACTCAAGATGGGTGTGTGCACCTGCACACCGAGGGTCGGGTCTTCTGGTTTCCGCAGCTCAGACGGGTCTCCGCGACGGGTCTCCGCGACGGCCGAGGCCCACCAAGTGGATCCACCTTCGTGCCAAGACCAGGACGGATCGGAGGCGGCGTTTCGGAGGGCGTTGACATGAACCATGAACCCCCTGAGTCGGCCTGCTGTAGGCGTTTTTTGCAGATCCGTTTTGGTTTCGGGAATGTGGCAGGTGTAATGTCATGCGTGGTCGGGTCTGTTGGGGACCTTTCCTGACAATGCGGGGCGAGGGGCCACGAGAGTCTGTCACATTGCCACATGCCGGTTCTCACCCCTTAAGTGCCGCAAGCCTACAGTTGAGCTGCTGTTCTTGGGGCGCCCCGCGGCAGACGACCACTTGCAGCTGTCGGAAATATCAATATCCTCAACCAACAAGGGGAGAAATCTTAGCTCCATGGATTACAAGAGAGCATATAGCGATCAAACATTGCAGCCCCAGCTTCAATCACTGAGTCTTCGATCTGCTCTCATAATCTATGGGGCACAGCGAAAAGTCAAAGCGTGGATGGAGGCACGCTCTCAAAGAACTGCCAATGGGTTGGTTGGGTCGGGATTCTTTGATAATATTCTCAAGTGGTCATTTGTTGATTGCTTCCCTCCTGAAGATCCTTGGAAAAATGGCCGTTCACGCATAAGAATGGCTGTCCCACAACCACCCTGAAAAAAATGTCGGTCGACCTGCAGGGTATATCTATAATATATATATATATGAGCCACAGTCACAATCCTAGCGACTAGGTTTTATATAAAATTGATCTTGCACATTCCTTGGAAATCGAAGCCGGAAAACCAAAAACGAAGCCTTTGGGTGGGATGCTTGCATGTGTATCCTCTTGGAGTGCATGAAATGTGGTGTTTCCAAACGAAGCCAAAACGAAGCCCCAAACGAAGCCAAAATCCACGAAAATGTGTCCTTTGCAGACCCTGCCCCAAATGACCCGTACTGTAAGAAGTTCCTTTGCTGTACTGGTAGGTTTTTAAAGAAGTTCCTTTGCTGTACTTCGCATTGTAAAGGTCTAGTGGTAATATAACTCACCTGGTGAACAAACAGAGCATAGTAGCCTAACTGGTGCAACTCCTTGAAAAACGAAGCCGGGAGACCAAAAAACGAAGCCTCAGTAGGAACGATCATTTTTTCCTTTTCATTTTGCCGGTCGCTCATACTATATATATATATATAGTGTTCCTAGGGCTTGATCCATTGACCCAGGTCTG